TGTTTGGCGTGATGTGTTGTTCAGTGCTTACCTGTCTGTCTTTACTGAGCCTTTTTGTACTGTGTTCTGATTCTCCAGTTCTTGATATTGTTTTCTTCCCCTCGTTTATGCTCTTTATATTTCCTAGTCTTTGTTGTTTGTAAGTCAGAGGCTGAATTTCATTTTAAGTTACAGCTTCACAAACTATTTTTGGGAAGAGAGTTCTGATGTTTCACAAGTTCACGTGACCCTTATGTCACCCCCAAATGTATCTTATAGGAGTTATTTATAAATACAAGGGAACCAGTTTCACTGGAAGCCATACATGCCTATGCCATAACACAGCCTCCACCATGCTTAACAGATGAGGTGGTATCCTTCAGATCAGGAGCAGTTCCTTACTCTTCTCTTCTCATCATTCTGATACAAGTTGATCTTTGCCTCCTCTGCCCATAGGATGTTATTCCAGAACTGTACAGGCTTTTTTTTTCTTATCTGGTCTTCCACTGGCAGTGACAGTTCTTTGGAATTCATATTGAAATATTTATCATGAGGATGTGTTTTTGATAGAGACTATAAAGCATTTTTGCAATATGGGCATTTTTGTGATAAGGGCATCTGTTAAATGCTGTAACATGAATAAATAAGCAATTTATACTTGATAGTATAATCCATATGTAAAAGTGCAGTACTCAGTGTAAATTATATGATTTGAAGTAGAACAATCAAAGTTTACATTAGTTAGTCTTCTTAAGCATAAATTTACACACACTCAGGAGCACGAGTAGAATACGAACATTTTTCCGAAATTACGGGATTTTCACGAATATTAAATTCATTCTGTAAATGCTACTATGAAAGATTTACGAACAAATCAGTTCATATCCAGCTTGATAAACGAGGCTCAATGATTCTATTTTAAAAAAAGTTAAATCTAAACATGTGTCATAGAAGTAACAAATAAACATAAAAGTATCTAAAGTATGATATTCTCTGCACAGTGAAACATTTGGCAAATTCAATTTGATATAAAAGCAAAAGAAATAATTTTCTCTAAATATCATAGCTATTACATCATTGCCATCATAGGTGTAATATTTATGATACTCTATCTACCACCTAATGATATTTTGGGGAAGCTGGTGTATAAGCATTTTTGTTATGCTGTTGAATGTGAACTATCAATCAGTGTGGAATGGTTGATAGTTCACATTCAACAGCATAACAATAGAAAAGACAAGAACCCAATTCATGTAGCTGGCCTTGGACTGTTCTTGACCTTGAGTTACACAAAATAAACCTACTTCAAATGGATCATTATCATGGATCATTGTCTCTGGGAGCCCTTTGTTACAGAAGGCTTCACCTCAAAACCTAAAGAAAAGATTTACCACTGCCCCCATTTTGTGTAAGACAAACCCCAAGCTCCAGTTTCTGGTAGAAGTTGACACATCAGAAAGTGGTTTTGGAGTGGTGCTGTCCCAGAGACAAGGTAACCTCATGAGATGGTATCCCTGTGCCTTCTATTCTAGGAAGTTGACACCAGCCAAACAGAATTATGACACTGGTAACAAGGAGCTGCTTGCCATTAAAGCAGCCCTAGAACGTGAGCAGCCATACGTTCCCAATTATTATCATGACCGACCATAGGAACCTTGAATATGTGAAGTCACCCAAGAGACTCAACACCTGTCAAGCCTGGTGGACTCTATTTTTTTTAATTTTTTAACATGTTTCAACTTCATGCTCACTACAGACTTGGATCCAAGAATGGTAAGTCAGATGTCTTATCCTGGGTCATTGAGGGACCCCCCCACATAAGTAATCCCTGAACCAACTATTCCTAAGTCATATTTTGCAGCCCTGGTACACTGAAAAATTCTGGAGGATGTCCAACATGCCCAACATGAGGACCCAACACCCCCTCATTGCCCACCAAAAAAAGAAAGATGGAAGATTCCTCAGAGCCGACTGTGACAACAATCAACATGACATATCATGTTGATATGAAACCAGCACTAATTTGAAAATAGAAACTTGACTCTGCCATTTAAATTATTTAAATAAATTATTAAATTTGACTATAGTTCAAACTGACTCTCTTGGAGTTCTAAAATAAATTAAAATCTAGCTAGAAATACAGGTTACATAACTACAGGTGGGGCTGGAAAGTTTCCTAGCTGACCTATAAAAAACAGTGCATGTGCATAACTGTATTTTATTTTGCAGCAAATTCAGACAATAGCACTGCTAACTTAGCTTCACTGAAATTTATTTTTTTCCTTCTCATTGTTCACTTTATTCATCCAATCCTAGAAGTTTCATTCCTTGTATCTTGCTTAGTTTATGCAAATCATTGCTTGCCTTGATGATGTATGTTTGATGATGATGCATGACAGTTTCATGAATCAGGTGCCGATTCATTCATACATAATTTGTTTGCAATTCTGTGAAAAACCAAATTGAAACACTTATTTCAATGCAACTTTGATGAGTAAGGGCCATGCGAGTTTACAATAGCAAAACGTGCACATACCAGCAAGTCTTGCAAAATCTTATTTTTCTTTGGAGCACTCATTAGCTTGGATGAAAAGAGTTGCCCAGACTTGTCTTTAACTAATCTTAAACGTCACTGATGTGTGAGCCTTATTATACAGTAATGTGTAAACCTTATTACACAGCACATCAGTGTTGTGCAAGCCTTACGTCTCTCCAAACAGACAAAGTCTTGTAAATGCAAACACAAAAGAAATGTTGGTATAGGGCATGATAACAGAGATGAGATTTGCATTGTGTATGAATATATAGAAGGCATATAAAAAGTAGGGTTATAGGTTAAAATCAACATTTTATTTTTTACTGTGTGTACTATAGCAGAAAAACAAATAATATAAGAGAAATGTTGTCATCAATTTTACACTTTCAGGTCTTGAAAACTTTTTCTCTTCCTGAATTACTGATGTGAGATGAATAAAATACAGTTATTTTCACTATTATTCTCTAAAATAATGATTTTAGTCCATAACATCTAAAAAAATATGTGAGTGAATATGGTCTTGTACTACCATCTAGAAGATTAGCAGCCTTTATAGGCTAATAGCTATTCTTTTTGTTTTTCCTCATTCTTTTTCTAATAAAATTAGAAAGGAGTAGACATAGTAGTTATGGATGTTGCTGTTGTTCTAGTCAACATTCAAAAAACGATTTCTATAGCTTGTAAACATAAGATGCCACATTAAATGTTATTATAAATCAAATTGAATATTATTGATGTGAAACATAGAAATGAAAAACAAACCCTTTAAACCCTACTGAACAACTTTGACCTAGCAGACAGCTACAGAAAGTCAGTGGAATTGTAAAGCCAGGGAAAGAGACTATGTATTATATTTAATTTAACACCAGGTGCAACATTGGATAATTTTGGGTAATTTTCTGTGGCTTAATAGTTTGTAGTAATAAAGCTGCAAGAAAGCAAGTGCATAGTCAGGAGGCTGTGTTGCATATTTAGAGAGGTACGGTCTGATCCTTCTGCTATTATACGGAAATAACACCAAATTGTTAGTTCCAATATATGGCTCAGTCTATTATGCCTAATGTCAGTACCAATAAACAAACCAACAACCAAACAAACACATAAAACCAGAAAATAAGTATAGGTGCAAATCAGTATAGTCCAATAGAACAGTGAAATACATCAGCATGTAGTAAATGTCTCCCTTGGCCTATAGCCTTTTCTGAGCAGCAAAGAACATCACTGAGGTCTGAATCACAGTTCATTTGTGTCGTTAAAAATAGCAAGGCTTTTTTTTTTTTTTAACTAAATGCCTTATTTGTCAGTTGGTCACACCAGCTGTGGATCTGATGTAAAGTGAATCTGGAATTTCATTTTACTGTTGTTTGTTTCTACATGGTCTCTAAAATAGTGACACTACTAAAGCAATTTTTCTGTTTGTCCCTCTACCCCTCTACACCGCTAAGGAAAGGAAAGTATTTACATGAAAAAAAAAAGATTTTCAATGGTAAGAAAATCATTCAGTGTCATAAATTGTAAGCTTCTATACTCCAGCACTTGTTGAAATAACATTGGAAATAACATTACAGCATGGAACACAACATTAAAAACAAAATAAAGTAACAGACTACTGTATATACATAAATATACAGTAGCGATCCATATGTTTATGTTATCATTTTTATATAGTCATTCTAGATCCCTAGTCTAAAATTCTGTTTAGTTTACTTGGACTATAGCTAATCACTTAAACCACACCTAAATATGGTAAGATTGGGGCACAGAGTTTAAATGCTAACCATAGGGCCAGCCACAAGAGAAATGTAAAGTTGGTGACAAAGAGATAAAACTTAAAGGCGAAAGTAAAAAAAAATGACCAGATGAAGAAGTAGAAAAATTACCTTACATTAAAATGCAAGCCATAGCTGCGGAGGACCACTACACATGAACTTATACAACAGTGGCTTGATGTGATGAACAGTTACATGTTATGGCTGATATGCTGTTGGATTCCTAGTAGAATTTGTTTTAACGTAATAAAAAGATTGCTATGCACAGAATAGGCTATGTTGCTGCAACACAACCTCCTAATCACTTAAGTATAAATCTACATGATTTTGCAGGCGGCTTATGTGCATATTCATACATCCTTGTGTCCTATTGATCACTTTGGTTTTGAAAAGTGTATCCAAAATAATTTGGTATGGTAAGGTAATGTAGTAATTCTGTATAATATAATTCTTCAAAGATTAACAGTCTTATCAGGGCTATTTTTCTGTTTGATTGCCGAAGTCTTGGTGAAATATTATGCTACCCATAATCCGGGAAAAAAAAAACTGACTTATTTGTAACACCTTCTATACAATGAATATCAATGCCCTGTCCAAAGCACACATTTACGGCATTTGGCAGACGCCCTTATCCAAAGTGACTTACAGTTATCTCATTTATACAATTAAGCAGTTGAGGGTTAAGGGCCTTGCTCAAGGGCCCAGCAGTGGCAGCTTGGCAGTGCTGGGATTTGAACTCTCCACCTTCCAATCAGAAGTCCAATGTCTTAACCACTGAACTACCAATTCCTCACACAAGCTATATCCATGTATGAAGCTTTCACTCCACTGCTCAGAAGGTCACGTTCTCTGCCAACATAATTTAAGGATGCTTTTCAAATAACATTGATTATGTAATAAATACTTTTACCTCAGTTTTAATCATATTCATTTTCTGTGTAATTTTTAGTCACCCATTCATCTTTACTCTTTCGCAGATTTCATTGCATTTGTATACACTTTTACACCATGGGGCAAAACAGAAGAGTATAAAGTGATAAATAGTAATAATGATTATGATTGTTTGAAACATTTCAATTTTTTTTAACTGTCAGCTTCTAATGTTGCCCTGACAAATACTACAATACCCAGAATCCTCGTCTTCTCCTACCCATTTAGAAATTCGGGTCTGTTGGGAAACGCTGAAATCACTGAAGGCTAGCCTGCCCAACATTTTAGGGGAGGTATGGTTACATGATCTGCATCTCTAATTGGCCCTGATGGGGCAGGGGGACATGGATGATGCTGCCTGAGTATCAAGTATGGTGGTTTAAACTTACTTCTTGCTTAAAGTTTAACTGATTAAGAGAATTTTCATCTACCTCTCAGGTAATATTTAAATATTATTAACAATTTTGTATTCAGAGTGGGTGGTAATTGCAATATATAAAACTACCAATTAAGCTATCCAATTTCTATAAATAAATGTTTTATTTTTATTCACTTTTTTAAAAATCAATAAAATACTCCAGGCACTAAAACAGAATTTGCTGTGGTAATTGATGCTGTTCCTAACAGAGTTAATATACAGTACTTTTACATATGGTGAGTGAGTTATTTCAAATGTCACAAAATGTAATGTAGTGTCACCCATGCATGGTACAGATGGAGTGGCATTGTAAAGCATAAAAAACGTGTATGTATGCGCATGGTGCACGTTTGCGGCCCAAATCACACAGGGGACGTGGACTGGGTACCCACAGAAACATCTCTGGAGCCAGTGGCTACATAAAAGCTATATAAAACTGCAGTAGCTACTTAGCTATCTGTAGCCAAAAAGCTGGAACAAACTAACTTGCAGATACGTGATGGTTTCTCAAGGTCATGCCCGCTTACCTCTCCGCCTGCTTTGCCCAGCCACCTAGGTGTGAAAGGCCCTTTACCCCTTGAATGGATATGATTAACATGAATTTTTTTAAGAGCAGATTCTTACAGTCAAGTATGTAACACCCACGATTTATTTATATAGCATTAGTAGTGCCAAATATGTTCATATGCCGTATTGATTTTGCAATGATACCAGGTCTTACTATGTTTCTAATCAAATGCTCTTATTATTCTTTGAATAAAATGAAATTCCTTTCATGAAAGAATGGATACATGGAATAATTTTTTTATGCCAAGATGAAAGTCAAGCAATTGTATATTCTATGAGCCATAATACAGTATGATGGTGTGTGCTAACATACAGTATATGCAGTACATTTTCTACAGTGATAAATGGTTCATAAATGTATGTTAATATATGTGCATTTACCAGCATATGTCTGCCCCCTGTCCACATGTTACATTGCCTTGACTCACATACCCCTGCTCTACCATCCCCTGCTTACCTCCTTACCCACTCAACATCTAAATACAGATGCAAGAGGAAGTTTGAGAACTTCATTACTCATAACACGTTGTCTGATCTTCTTTCAAGTCATAATAGTAGACAAGCCCATTCTGGCTAAACTGATAAAACACAAACACTTGTACACCATTTAAACATTCATAGTCTATGTTTAAAAATGTAAACCTCTGGGCTAACAACTTGTCAAAAGGCTAAATGGAGTCAGGCACTGTCCTATAAAACACAGAGTGTTTGTGTTTGCTCTGGTTACAGGCAGAGTCTACTCTTCTTTAAAACGATCTGTTCATATGAACCATGCCCTGTGAACCATGCCATAATCAAACATATTTCAGAGGATATGGTGGAAGGAGCATCATGCTATGGGTCTGCTTTGCTGCCTTAGGGCCGGAACAGCTTGCTGCACAGATGCTCGGTCAGATTGAGCTCTGGGGAATTTGGAGGCCAAGTCAACACCTTGAACTCTTTGTCATGTTCCTCAAGCCATTCCTGAACAATTTTTGCAGTGTGCCAGGGCACATTATCCAGCTGAAAGAGGCCACTGCCATTAAGGAATACCGTTGCCATGAAGGGGTGTACTTGGTCTGCAACAATGTTTAGGTAGGTGGTATGTGTCACAGTAACATGCACATGAATGCCCAGACCCAAGGATTTCCAGCAGAACATTGCCCAGAGATTCACACTGCCTCCGCCGGCTTGCCTTCTTCCCATAGTGCATCCTGGTGCATCTCTTCCCCAGGTAAGCGACGCACACGCACCTGGCCATCCACATGATGTATAAGAAAATGTGATTCATCAGACCAGACCACCTTCTTCCATTGCTTCATGATCCAGTTCTGATGCTCATGTGCCGATTGTAGGCACTTTCAGTGGTGGACAGGGGTCAGTATGGACACTTTGACTGGTCTGCGGCTACGCAGCCCCATATGCAGCAACCTGCAATGCACTGTGTGTTCTGACACCTTTCTATCATAGCCAGCATTAACTTTTTCAACAGTTTGTGCTAGAGTAGCCCTTCTGTGGGATCTGACCAGATGGGCTAGTCATTCTCCCCACGCACATCACTGAGCCTTGGGCACCCATGGATCTGTCGCTAGTTCACCGGTTGTCCTTCCCACTTTTGGTAGGTACTAACCGCTGCATACCGGGAACACCCCACAAGACCTGCCGTTTTGTACAGATCCAGTCGTCTAGCCATCACAATTTGGTCCTTTTCAAAGTCACTCAGATCCTTATGCTTGCCCATTTTTCCTGCTTCCAACACATCAACTTAGAGAACTGATTGTTCATTTGTTCCCTGACTGTTCACTTAATATTTCCCACCCCTTGACAGGTGCCATTGTAACAAGATCAATGTTATTCACTTGTCAGTGGATTGGTGTGTATGTATACACACACACACACACTATATATATATATATATATATATATATATATATATATATATATATATATATATATATATATATATATATATATATATATATATATATATATATATATATAAAATAAACTCCATTTATTTAGCACAAATCCCAACTTTTCTGATTGATTGAGAGGTGATTAAACTTATGAGTATTCCAGCATTCAAGAGATCCTCCTCTAGAACCTTGGGCAGGTTATGACCTTGGTGCTTTCTGCTTTTCAAACATGATCAGAACATATCCAAATTTCTGATTGGCTATTGGAAGACAATGGATCCATGTAATAATATGCAATGCTTTATGGCTGTTTGGTTTGGGTAAATGCTTTAAAATGTTATAGAAGTTCCTAAAATGCCTTTTAAGGGGTAATGAACTGGAGAGAAAGGATACTTCTGGAATCAAGCAGGTTGGAAAAATAGGCTAGGTCACTGTTACAGCATGCCAGGAAAGTTTGACCTACATCATATTTTCAACAATCAGTCGGCTCAAAAGCAGTGCCTCCACAGTCATAGTGTATTGTGTGCACAAGCATACGTTTTGGGCTGTTTGCAGAATCATTCAGATGTACACATCTGCTACGTTGTGCCGTCAGCCCCTGGCTCACATCTTCTTCTTCTTAATATTATTATTATTATTATTATTATTATTATTATTACTATTATTGTTGTTGTTGTAATAGGTGGTAAAAGTACTACTTTACTACTGTGTGATGAGTTTTAACAGTGTAATTCCGATAAATAACAGAGTACAGTACGAGCAGGCTAACCAGTGACAGAAAATACAAGTAACTCCTGTGAGTTTTAGACCAAAAACAACATGATATTTTCAGACCAGTGAAAACAAAACTTTTTGTTCTGCTGCAAGGGATAGTTGGCTTGGGTCTGGGAGCCTGGGCTGCTGTCACAGACCCAGGACTGAACATTTTAATAGCTGATAGACATTTCATTGTCTGGAATGAAAACCCATTTACAAATGCGGGAGCATATATCGTCTTCAAAAATGAGGAATTACAGCACAATATTAATTGTTGCTTTAGTAATCCTACAACAGAATTGCAGCTGTAAATGCAGTCACATTTAGCCATTTTGCTTGACATAGTCAGCAAAACTAGTACAAAATCATTTGGCTCCCCTGCAAAGCTTTTTTTTGTTTGTTTGTTTAATAAAAGCAGCTGCCCATTGTCGTGGAAGTTGGTATAACATGCTAATTGTTAGCCAATCACCTCCTAATTTTTTTTTAATACTGTTCTCTTCCAGCTCATCTCAACAGTGGGGAAAAAACTTATGGAATAAGAAAGCAAAGAGAACAGATAAGAGAGGCAGGACATTAATCTGTGTACCTTGAGGCCAGAAGCCTAGGGCCAATAAGGGCATGCACTAGTGAGAGCTAGGCTGGATGGTTGCATACTCGACAAGGTCTCCGCAAGAGTGCACTGAGCTCCGAGGAGAGGAAGCCAAAGCTGCAGTATCCAGCACTGCATACTGAACATCACAGTCCTTGTGGGCAAAACTCTGGAGATAAGAGAGGTGAAGAGGTGTGTGAGGAGTGGTGCTCATGAAGAAACAAAGAATTGAAGACAGATGGAGAAATTAATGTATATGAATAATACCTACAACAGACTGTGCAGGCAGAGACACCAAAAAAAAAAAAATTAAACAATTGCCAACACAATTTTTGTTTAGTATCAGTGTATTTATGTTGGTAATGCAGTCTGGGTGTATAACACAGGCCTGCTATATCATAAAAATTGGCTTTAAAATTCAGGAATTGTCTTCAATGTATACACAGTATGAAAGGAAACCTAGGTTGCATAAAAAATGAAACTGAATAAGTGTGAACAGGTTGAGTAGCCATTGTAAAGAGGCATGACAATGATAAATTTCATGCTGTTATGTGGTGGTCCTGATTGCCATTTATGTGTACAGCAAAAAAAGACGAACTGAGCAGGAGACAATAAACTGACAGTAACATAAAACT